CCCCGCCCCCTCCCGGAGGCCCCGCCCCCTCCGCCGTACCTGGGCCCTGTCCTCTGCGTGTCCCCGCCCCAGGGGCCGAAATGATGTAAGGGGATTGGCTGGAGGGGGCGGGGCCTCCCTGCGGAAAGTGACGTCACGATCACTCCCTGCAGTGTGAATGAATCAAACCTGCCTTCCGCGGAGCGGCACTCGGGCGAGCAGAGCTGCTGCAGCCTCGCTTAGCCCAGGATACACTAACCCGGGATAGCGGGCTCGCAGGGACAGGGAAGGGAGCAGGGCTCCAGCAGGGCCGCGCCTGCAAGGATCAGCCTTGCCTGCCCTTTCCTTTCCCGAGTCCTCGTGGTTTTCTTTTCCTTTGCTCCAGAGAGACAAGAAGAGCCGGTTTGCTTGGCTTTGGTCTGATTTGAATTCTTTTGCTGTCGATTGAAATAAAATGATGCAGAGCTCAGCACTGGCGGCCGAAGGCTCTGTCAAGGGGCTTCCAGAGATTCTCGGTGTGCCAATGCAACGTAAGGAAAAAAAATTTTTTTTCTCCCTCATTGATTTAATCATAAAGAAAACGGGCAGCCTTAAAAGCGTAACTGCTGCAGGGAGGATGGTTCACTGCACAGTGAGAGGTGGAGAGGAGGAAAAAGAGCCACCCTGTGCCTGGGAGAGGCTGCACAAATGTAAGCTGGACGGGGGTTTTTAGGGCTAGCCGGGATCTGCAGGGCGGATGGCCGGGGCGTGCTGTCTGCCTTGGAGAAGTGCCTGGCGGGGAGAGGCAAGCGTGGGGTGGGAGACGGGGGAAGCGAGGCAGAGATCCTGGGCAGGATGCGGGGCTGGTGGGGAAAGGCGAGGGGCAGGGAAGTAAAGAAGCTCCCAGCTGGGAGCGGGCGGCCGGGCCAGCTCTGCCCAACTTTCCAGCTTCTTGCAGGAAGTTGGAGACCTCCCAAGTGGGCGCTCAGCTCGGAGAGCCTGTTGCTGGAGGGCCATGGGGCAGTCTGGGGGCAAGCCGGGGGGGGGGGCGTGTGCCATGTGCCAGATGTCATGTGCCATGGTGCCATGTGCCAGGAGAGCGAGGGGCCCGATTATCTGCGCGGCCTTTCCCCACTCCCCCTGAAACACCCTCCTTGGCACTGCAGGGCACAAGGGGCATGTCTCTGTGCGCTGCCCGGCTCCGGCTGGGGGCGGGGGTAGGACGGGACGGGACGTGCTTTGGTTGGACACGCGTGTGCCGAGGGACGTGAGCCACCGCCGCCGCGTGTGCATCGCGCGTGGCTGTGCGGGAGCGGCCGGCGTGTGCCGGCGTGTGCGTGTGCCCGCCC